TATTAATTGTTGGAACGCATTTTCGCAAACGGGTGTCCAGACAAAATCGTTATTTTGACTCAGTAGTGGCCTTAACGGTGCGCTTAATTCAGCGAGTTTGGGTAAAAGTTTGTGTAAGCTGTGCAGTGAACCCATCAAAGATTTCAACTGCTTTCGAGAATTGGGGTTTTTAAGTCTTCTATTGCTTTGTTTTTCTTACTAAGGGCGTGATACCACTTTCCCCAATTCGAAATCCGAGCCATTCGCGCTCCGTTTTCGCAAATTCGCATTTTCGCAATTTTAACGCGACATTGGAGACATCCAGCTTTTTCAATATCTATTCCACCAACGCAATGTGTTCGATTTTAGTTCCTTTTGAAGTAATTAAGATATCATCCATAAACGCGTTAGCCTGGGGGAACTCCTTAAGTAAATTATCAATTACCTTCTGGAATTCCGCCGGCATTGACGTAAGTCCGTAAAATCGGTTTTTAAAACGATAAGTCCCCGTGGATTTACCGCCGACTAGTGAGTTTTTGCATTGCTCGCTCGTTTTTTGTTCTAATGCGACTTGTCCGTACGCATATGTGAAATCCAATGTTGTAAAATATACATTCCCCGATTTTTTCTCCGCAATAATCTAACTTAATCCGTCTATTAATTCGTCAATATTTGGCATTTGGTACTTATTTTTGTGTACCTGTTTGTTCAATTCTCTTGATTCTAGTGCTAATTTTATGCTTCCGTCCTTTTTTACTGTAATGACGATAGGAGAGACGAAATACTTATCTGAGCACTCTTTTAATTTTACGATATGTCCTTCATTTATCAGTCGATGAATTTCTATATCCACCTTTTCTTGTAGACTGATTGGCACCCTGCGCCCTTTTGTTGTATAGGTTTCAAATTTTCAAAAAATTCAGATCTTACTTTCGCATTCCGGATCTTCCCTATCATAGTAAATAAATTTGGGTACAACTTACAGAAGTATAATTGCAATTCGTCGTATTCCTCCTCCTCCTGACTGATCCCTTCCCCTGTGATTCCCATCACTTTCTTCCGTTGGACTAACTCGAGACCTAGGGTGCCCATCAGATCGCGCCCCAGGATTGACTGATCATTTCCGGATATTACTGACACTTGTGCTGGTTCTGCCCAGCCATTTAATGACATCATCACTGTTACCTTCCCTAGTATGTTTATTCGGTTGTTGTTGTAACCCAGAAATTCCTCTTTTGACGGCTGTAGTTGAATATTTGCTTTTCCTAACGTTGTTTTTAGGACGTTTATGCGGAAAATAGTCACTGGGGATCCATTATCTATCCACAACCACATCTTCTTCCCTGACACCTTCACTTGAACGCGGGCCCCAGGGATCTTCAATTCAGTCTCATTCTTCTTCCTTTTTATCGACATTGCCATGTAGTCGTCCGATCCCGACGTCATGGAATCACTTTCCCCGCACCCCTGCTGATTCACCCACGACACTGGGTCTTCATTCAATTCATTTACGTTCTGCGTACTCTGATGATGCTCATTTTCCTCCCTGACCAATCCAACTCGTCCTCGTCCTCTCCATTGGTTAGTACCCCTTCTAATTCCTCGACATATTTGTTCAAAATGTCCCAATTTTCGACACGAGTTACATGTTGCTCCCTTTGCAGGACAGCTCGCGATGTGATCCAGGGTAAAATTTGGTGCATCGCAATTGTAACACCTACGGTTATTTCCGCTTCCCCCACTACTACTTGATCCTTGGGTGTATCCTCCACGTCCTGCACGTCCTCGACCTCGAAAAAATCCTTGTCCCCTTCTTATATTATTCACCGGTTCCTGTTTTATTGAAATTGCCGGAGCTGATGAAGCTGGTTTTCCCGTATATGATTTGTATGCGCGCTCACCACGTTCGTATGATATGGCGATCCGGTAAACTTCCTCAAGTAACTTAGTTGATCGTGATAATTCTCGTTGGCAATCCGATTCTCGCATATTCATAATGAAAATATCATGAATGTTTTCGGCCGCATTTGCAAAATCACATCTTCCTGCTAGGGCGCTTAGCTCCGCATGAAAATTTTCGAAAGTTTCGTTCTCACGTTGTTTTCGTCCGTAAAAGAGACCCCGCTCATGAGTTACATTCCTGTCACGTTGGAAAACATTTTGCGTCTCATCCAGGACCCGTGGGTACCGTTCCGTTTTAAGGTTGACCGTCGGTTTTCGTGCTTTGAATATCCGTTGCGCCTCATCTCCGATACAAAGATATAAGTTAGACTTTAAATTCTTTTCCGAATCGAGACGGTTTTTTCCATTGACTTCTTCAGGCATCGCCGTGATAGCCGCCGCATTTAGAGTACTCGCAAAGTAGAATACATTGGGATCAATGTCGTATTTTGCTATCATCCCCCAGTGAAATTTATTTATCCACTCCTCCCAATATACTGGAGGTTCCGGCGTTCGTGTTTCCCAAAATGCTACTATGTTTAATGGATTTTTTCCCCCTCCTTTTTTCTCTGCTGGCTGCGCCATGTTAAGGTCGTAAGTTTGGAAATTCAAAAAGGTTGTTAATAAATTGTATTGTAGACAAACTGTTAGGCATCAAATCGAAATCTTACTGCACTCTTTTATTTCAGATCCCATCGGACATTAGAGATCGCAAGGTCAAGACAGCAGGTCCCCAGACAGAAAGAAGAATTGATAGCACTTACATAAACTCAAACTGGTGTCTATCTAGAAGAATTGATAGCACTTACATAAACTCAAAACTGGTCCCTATCTCAACAGAAAGCTAATTTTTCAAAATCAGGCATTTTCTTTTTGTTCCATCTAAACAAAATTAATTTACTAAAAATTTAAATTAAAACAAAGATCAAAAAGCAGAGCTTTTATTGATTATTTTTGTCACCAAAAACACAGTAAAAGTTAAATGACTACAGATATTAAGAAAATTCAATCAAAAGTTTACAATACCACACACAATCACGACCCAGATTTGGATTACACTCTGAAGCCGAAGATTTAAATTTCGTCAATAATTTCATGCTGTTTTGCAAAAAAAAGCAGTGTGAGGGATTAAAAACCTTCATGAGCGGGTCGATGAAAACTGGATAGAAAAGTTGATCGATTCAGAAGTGAATGGTTGCACCCTATTTCGCCCTAGCAAACGACCTGGTTTTCTATCTTCAATACCGCACAAACATATCTTGCACAAACTGAACAAACTTATTGGAGTCGCAGTATTTTGCATCCAAATATTTTTGTCGAAAGTTCAAAAATCGGACAATTTTTTGCGATGCAGTTTTTGGCACGTCCCCCAGTCCATAGGAGCAAATTGATGCAATTTTTAATCTGTGGAAGAATAAAAAAGAAAAAAACTAAATTTATTTTTTCTATTATGGACAAATAGAAATTTGCATTTAAACTAGCCAATCATTTTCAAGTGACTGCATCAGTTATTTTGATTGACTTTTAGCAATATAATTAACCTCATAGGCCTCTCAGCTCTCCAGTGATAAGTTTAGCGAAAAAGAGCTTGAAATAAGTGTTAATTTGACCGTTGATTGAAACTCATTTACAAGAGAAATGTGTAAAATGGCCCTTCTTGAAGAGTCTACTGTTTTCTGGGGAAAGGAAGGGAAAAAATATTCGAAGTTGATGAAAGTGTATTTTAGTGTCGAGAAATTAACATCGACTGGATTTACCCACAACTGTAGGTATTTGGGAATTATTACCGCGAATCTGAGAAAAAATTTTATATGCTGTCCCTGATTGTTCTTCCTCGACCCATCTCCCTATCAAACAACAGTCAAATTGTCCCGGAACGCGAATTTTTCCGACGAACGGAAAGATCACGGTGGCATCATAGATGAGGGCTTTTTTTTCGAAAAACTAAAAAAATAATCAATTTTTTGTTGATCCGTTCATTTCCTGCCATACGAATCTAACCGGAGAAATGCAAACTTGCGAAATAAGCGGTATTAAGGAACGGTATAAATCCAATTGATCTCGCATCGTATTTATGCAAATTTAAATGGAGGAAGCTTCATAATGTAAAACAATGAAATCCATTTGCCCCAACTGTCAAAGAAACTGCTCACACTTGGCCCGCCCATTGATAGTTTTTTGTATTTTAGTAATAACTGAGGTAAACGTATGAAAATTACGAAATATCATTTTAATTTGAAGTTTCTCATTTTTTGATGTCCGCATAGTGCATAAGACCCGGATTCGCTTACGCGTTTTACTGTTCGTTGCTTACAACTCCAATTATTTTAATTGCGCATGATAATTGATACACATGCTAATTCCTACAGCCCCAACCAACTCATTCGTTGCTGCAAGATTTGTCTAATCAAATTTGCATTTTTGATTTGCGAGCACTTTGCTTAACATGTAATTGGATGAAAGTGCAATTTTCATAAATTTTAAAAAGAATTGGGGTAAAGTGCGAATAAACAGCAAATTGAAACATTTCTAAGATACAGATGCGCATATCTAAAACCCATTCGATTCTTGGACACGTTCACACGTTTTTTCCCGAAACTTTGGCGATGACTCATTTAGCATGAAGCTCGTCTGGCATAAAATTTTGAAGTTGCCCATAAGTTTCAATTAGCATTATATTCATTTAAAAAAATTGGCCCATGTGAATAACCTTCCCATCTCCTCCGCCTCAAAACTATCTTCACCTCATTTGATGAGTACAATTTTTGTTTAAAGTTCTCAATATCTCATCAAATTCTTAACATCTAGATAAGTACACATTTTAGCTTAAAATTCATAGTATATCATTAAAATCTTTATCCCATTAGCATAGGTTATTTCGCGTGTAGTAAGGGCCGTGTTAGGGTGGTATATTTACTGGCATAAAACCGACTAGCATAAAAATTGTATTCATTAGCATAAATTGCTTGATTTATTCAGCTATGAAGCATCAACTGGTTTTTAAAAAACCTCTTTTATCAACTGGTTATAAAAAAATATCCTATGTTAATTTTAGAAAATATCTTAGATCTTTGACTCACTCGACACTCTCTGCGTCGTCATTTTCTGCTAAGTCACCTGTCGGCTTTTCCATAACTCCGCTTGAAATTTCCTCCTTACTTTCGTGACCTTCGATCACTTCGGAGCTCCCTTGTCTGAGTCCATCTTCAGGTTGTGTACTGTTGGGGCTGCCATTGTTGTAGAGACTTGACAAGTTGTTCTTCAGCTTTTCTTCTTCAAACTCCAGCTCCCTTCGTTGTTCCTCAAGTCTGAAATGAAAATTTTAAAAAATTCCGCAAAAACTTCGAGCAGTTAAAATTACACATGATTCGTTAAATCATTTTTTGTTGTTTAAATTTTTCTAGCTGCCTGCTTCGAGGATATATAACCATATGGCAATGGCCGAAGTTGTGGTTCTATGATCAGACTACCGTGACCGAATTTCAGTATTTCCAGACCATCGTGTCCAAAAGTCGGCATTCCCAGACCTCCGAAATTCAGACTTTGCAGATTGAAGAATAAATAACAACGACTAAAAAAAATTGACCGACACCGAAGAAAAGTGAGACTTTTTCAACTGTTGCGCTCTTTCGGTGCTTCATATTCAAATATTATGTAAAATTTAAGGCTGTTTGTTTTTTGCGTAGCGCCTTACGTTTTTGGCTATACGATTGAGCAATCAAGTGTTTCAATATAAAATAGGTTGCTTATTGCAAGTTTCAAATTTTACTTTTTATTTTTCAACCATATTTTGAAGTTTACTCATCTTTTCAAAATTTAGATAATAGGCCGACAAGTAAATAAGATCATCTTTTCCACAAGCCCAAAAATACTTGCTACATACCATTATTACTACTATTATGCTATATAACAACAAATTGTCACTATTTTTGAACAATTGTTACGTAACTCTGATATAGTTTGCAAATTATGATGCAATTTCTGCTTCAAGATAAAGCTCTTTTTAGAGAACAACTGCCAAAGATTTGAGCTCTTTACGCCAAATTAATTTTAACAAATACCCAAAAATCGTCAATTTGGTATAACTTTATTTTTTCAGGTCATTAGCATTGTTATTTGCATAAAATGTCGATCGAGGTTGAGATCTCCGAATGAAGATAAAAGGGTACAATGGAAAATCCAATGTTTACACCTCGACAATCTAGGCTTTAAAATATTACCAAAATTGCGTGCGAATAAGCAGACATGAGATTAGATAGCTAAATCTATCTATGCCTGAGAACCGAAGACTAACCAAAACTAAAATTCCAGGCGACATCGACAAGAAAATTTTGGGGATAGCTGCTAAAAACTGTCGTTAATTTCAAAACTACAGGACACAAAACGATCAAACAAAACTGATAGCAGAGCAATTCACTACCTACTTTTAAAAAGATAACGCGAAAAACCGCAAATGCACGCAACTACCTTTTTTACCTGCTAAATCAAGCTTCCCTTAATGTCTTTTCTTGATAAATCGCCGCCAAAAAAAATCATTGTTCACGACACAACACATCAAATAATTCCGTTACTAGTAAATTTTAAATTACACACGGTATAGGAGGAGAAAACGGGAAAAAAAGACCAAGAGAAAAAGACCATGAGAACCGAGACAACAGCGATTGAAAGCCTGGCGGTGACCATCGAAAATGAGACTATTTTTTTTATAGTTTTTGAGAAAACTCAGGAAATTTTGTAGACGCGGCTTTCATAGTGGCTGCTACAAAAGGGGACGAAAACTACATCTACACTTCAAGATGGTCCAAATTCAGAAGTGGGATTTAATTTAAAAAAATTAATGGTTTTTGTTTCTACTAATTCCAAAGCAACTGAAGCAGATTTTGATCCATCCAATAATGCATTCAACGCATCCAGGACTCGACGGGTCTTTTGAGGTTGCAAAAAATGTCTGGTATTGCTACCTACATCAGCACAATGCTGCAATGGCCTAAAATTGCAAAATTGAAGCGAATGGTATTAAACTTAAAAAAACTTATCTCTAAAGGAAAACATTTAACGGCACTGGACGCTGTGGTACAGCACAACGAGGAATTTCAACAGGATTTTACAGACATTGGCTGAAAAGAAAAAGAAGTACAGTGCTGATTTAAATTATCCGGACAAAACAAACAAAACTTGAATTTTCAAACGCGTTTTTCTCAAATTGGGTTGAGATTAGACAAAAAGTGAAGCGAACAAAAATTGCTTAGAATTTCACCAGAATTAATATGGTGCCATTTTTTCTCCGAAACTCTCAACAAAAGTTTTACCCCAAACATGGGTCATTTTGGCTTTTTTCAATTAATCAAAAATTACGCTGAAACTACTTTGTTAATTGATATGAAAATTTTATCACAGGAAGCCTCTTACGCAGCTCAACAAAGTTTAACAAGGATTAAATTTCCAAACATTTGCGCAAATTGTTTAAAATTTATTTTTAAACAGAGATTCTGGGTTTTATATAGTAAAAATCACATTTATTGAATATCAATTGAAATTTTTTTCATTTATACTAGTTTTTGGAGATTTAACCCTTCTTAAACTTTGTTGAACTGCGTAAGAGGCTTCATGTGATATAATTTTCATATCAATTAACAAAGTAGTTTCAGCGTAATTCTTGATTAATTGAAAAAAGTCAAAATGACCCATGTTTGGGGTAAAATTTTTGTTGAGAGTTTCGGAGCCATATTAAAAAATGGCACCATATTAATTCTGGTGAAATTCTAAGCAACTTTTGTCCTCTTCACTTTTTGTCTAATCTTAACCCAATTTGAGAAAAACGCGTTTGAAAATTCAAGTTTTGTTCGTTTTGTCCGGATAATTTAAATCAGCACTGTATAAATGAGTGTTTAAATGGACAGATTTTCAAGGTTTCCAACCGTTAAAAAGTCCATAACAAGATGGCAGCAAAATCACAAATTGAAAACAAGCATAACGTTAACAACGAGGTACCAAGAAAGACAAGTTGTGCTCTAGTCCTAGGCTTCCTAGTGAAACGAAACTTAGTTTACAGCAAAAGTAACAACACATAAATATTTTTGCGCCAGAAGGTGATCGTATATCAACAGAGGTATGGAACAGAGGGTAAGAAAAATCTTAAAAACAGACTTTCAAGATTGAAGAAAGACAAAACACAAAAGTTATGTGAGCTTTTGTCAGAATTTATCATTACTCCTTAATTCACCCCAATGCAACAAGCATAATTACACAAGCATAATTTCGGCACAAAATACACCGTCGACAGAAAACTAAACAATTCTTTTTAGTAAAATTAGCACCTCTCCAAAATACAATACCCTCATGTTTGGACGCAAAAGCTACTGACAAACGAGCCGCATTATCCATTTGGATTAGAGAGGGGTAGCAGTGAAGGCGAGCTTGACTTGTTATACAGAGACTTAAAAGAGTTCTTACCCTCCCTAGAAGAACCCATATGCAACTCACCACAAAAGAATATACCAAGCAAACAGAAAAACGCCACCTAAGAAACGTTTACGTCGGCAACCAAAAACGGCATTAGGGAAACAAGGCTGCAGTACATCCCCAGACAGAAAAAAAAAAACCAACGCACTTCAGCTGGAAACCAGCGACGAAGAGTTTGACTGGAGACTGTCCGAGAAAGTTTCAATCCCACGCACCTTTTTTCAGCAGAACATCGTATGATATGTGACAAAATTAAAACTATGATTTAAAAATAAACCAAAAAAAAATTGCATAAGACAAGAAATTAAATTCGTTCGACGACAACTCAGAAAAAAAAAACGAATTGCATAATTTAATTTTCTAAAAGATAATTCAAAGGCCTTGAGCAAACCATATGAATAAAAAACAACAAAACTCAAATAAATTGTTAGAAAAACAGGTGCAAAATTTATTTTAAAAAAAAGGAATATTTTTTTCACAAAATAAAAAAATTACATAAGTTTTTATCCGCACACCGAATGATTCTGGGAGGTCAAAAACTGACCAAGAATAATCAGACTCAACCCGTACCTAAGTGCAAACGCAGTTGCACATATGACCATTCAAAACCTTTCGTCGTTGATG